GTAGATTGCTCAGAAATTCATGAATTCTTCTATATAAATCAGCAACTATGAGCAACTATCAGCCTTAGACTGATATGACTCTTCCTAACCCTCTCTTTCACAATTTCCTTAAAATGTTCTCTAAAATATTAAAAACTAAAAACTTCATTCAGTCAGGTTTGTGCTTCCCCATGAATAAAGTGCTGTGTGACTCTCTTGCAGAATCGTCATATGCAGCTTGTGGGGATAACTTTTCTTTTTTGTCTCTGTTTTGACTGTGAAATCACTTTCATTCTATGCATACAGCTTTTTTCTTTCTGGCAGAAAGGTGCATCCAGCAATTAAGCATTTTACAGATAAATATATCTATGCAGTATATGCCAAAGCAAAAAATATGCTTTCACAAACCCAAGCCTTGGCTTGGGTTTGTGAAAGCAGTAAAGAGTGCCACTCCAAGCTGTCTTTAAAGACTGCAGTAAAAGGTTTATGATCTGTGTTTACTAGCATGGGTGACTTGTAATAAATGTACTTCGATGGTGTAGCACTATGTCCTGCACTGATTGCTCCAACAAATGAGTACTCCTCTTCACTAGAGTCATTTGTAATCACGTAACAGTTTGACTTTCTGTCTGGAAAAGCATAGTTTTGTCACATTGGTTTATGCCACTACATCTCTCACAGCATTTTCAGAGACTATGACAGCTGTTGGTTTCATATTTACTCCCACGTTATTCTGTACTTTAAACAAATGTTGTTTCTCCTTCTTTACTCCGAATGTTCTAGATGCTGTTGAGGCTTTCTTTCCTTTAAAAAAAGCAACCAAACAATAGTTTGTATAATGTCCACATGTATTATTTTCTTTTTTTTGTAAACAGATTTAACAGCCTTTTTTCTTACTTGCTGTAAGAGCATCTCTTTCTTCTGTTTTATCTCAGAGGTTACAAAAATTTTGCTGGGCAGCTCCAGAATGGTTGGTTGTTGTTTTTGTTGTTTGTTTTGTGGTTTTGTTATTGGGTGGTGGGGGTGGTGGGGGTGGTGTTTATGGGTGGTTTTTTGTAAGAACTTCTGTGCTATTTTATGGGCTTACTGAGTAGTTGTGACCAAATACTACTGTCTGAAGTATGTGTGGAATATGGGTTGCCCTCAGTATTTTGGGGTTGTATTGTGCCAAGAAGCAGGAATTTCCAGTCGATGCAGCATGGGTTACATTTCGGCTCCTGTAAGAAGAAAGCTTAAATAGACCAAAAATTCTTCAACCTGAGGAGGAGGCAGCTCAGGAAAAAATAGTACAAACCTGAATGCAGGGAGAAAATTAATAGAGAGGGATTACAGCAGCAGCATGAAATTATGAGGTAGGGCAGCAAAAAACCCCCACAACCCAAAGTAAATTTCAGTGCAGAAGTAAACTCTGGAACTCATTGCCACATGATATTGATAACAGAAATGTAAAAGAGTTAAAGAAAACAATTAGACACAGTAATGAAAGAAATATTCATGTGGGAACAATTGTTGATATCTCAATTTTTTAAAGTGAGAAGAGAACACACCTTGGAGTTATGAGAAGAAGATGATAGCATACACTTATATTGCAGGGGACATTGGCATTTTGGGAACAGGCTTTGTGCAACTGGGGCTGTAGATAGGGAAAGCATTACTATTTGTACAGTGCCATTCATAAAAATAAGAACTACTGTCAGATTTCACTGCTTCTGCAGAGAGGCAGAGGGAAGCCTTGCTTGCATAAGAAAGCTGCACACACTCGCACATACATGTAGTGCATTAAACTCTTTAGGTAATCAAGGGAAATTAATTCAAACCATTTACTCTGAAACTCAGTTTGCTACTGCTGTGTTTTCAGTTCAAACACCTTTGATAAACTGCACTCACAGCTTCTCCAGAATGTTAACGCTTCTGTTCTTACTAAAATGATGCATCTCCGCCCCTTTAGTTCTCACCTTAGCACTCACACTTTTTTTTTTCCTGTTTGACATAACACCACCTATTTTCTGAGAGGAACTGTGTACACTTAGACTACCGCACCTTTATGGCTTTGTGCTTTGTCTCCTTAGTTGTTCCTGGACAACGTGCAAGCCTAGAGATGTAATGCGCAGTGCTTCGCCACTGGGGTAAAATTTTTAGTTCGTGCACCTGTAGCTGCTGGTTGTATTTTCAGGATGCTGAGATTTTGTGTTTCCTCATGAGCAGTCTCTTATAACAAGTGACTGTAGTTCTGATCATGAGTATTTAACTGAATTAGTGTTTCTTCTGGCAGTAACTACTGAAAACCATGGATGATACCCTGACTTCTTTAAATTAGTAGAACAGTGACTGCACAGATGGAAACCCTGTGCTGTTAAGTATGCCAAGTATTTGAAAGACAACTGTAAGACTTCACTCTTACATAGTTTTTAAAAAAATCTTATCTCTGTGGGTCTCTAATGTAATTGTTATCTATAGAGCTATTAAGAATGTTAAAAAGGCTACAGATTTCAGCATAAAGTGATGTGACAGTTCACTCTCTGTAATCATATTTGTTTTAAATATTTGAATTCTGCATATTTTAATTGGTTTGCAAGGTGCCCCAGGTAACTATTGTTTCACAGCATGTGGTTTTACTGAGGAATTATAAGATTAGCACACATATCAGCTAAGTTTTTCCTAATGAGGAGATCTTTCTGTTTTGATTCCAAGGCTTGTTTTTAGTTAGTCAAGGCAATACAAAATAAATAAACTCAACATACTTATTCATCATATTGATTGCTAGTGAGCTGACTAGAAAATAAAAGAATTTATAATTTAAAAAAAAAAATCTTTTTTCTTCTTTTTTTTAATGTGTACTATTTAAATTAAGGATCCATTTTTACCTGAAAGTTGATTATTAAGTGAAAGTTTTCTGTGTGTTAAGTGTGCCAAATAACTTGAACATAGGAATAATCTGCCTGTGAATAATAAAGTTACCCTACTCTTCCCAAGACCTTTCATTTGTGATAAACAAGTATGACTGATCCCAAGGATGGGACTATTTTAGTGGCAGCTCTGAAACATGGTTATTTAAGCATTTATTTTCCCCAAGCAGAAGGTGGTCATTTCTCAGTAACTCTCTGTAAAGTGTGTGTGTTAGGGAAGGTTTAGGTAGGATATTAGAAAAATATTCTTCACCCAGAGAGTGTTTGGGCACTGGAAGAGGCTCCTCAGCAAAGTGGTCACAGCACCAAGCCTTACAGAGTTCAAGAAGTGTTTGGACAATCCTCTCAGGCACATGGTGTGATTCTTGGGGATGGTCCTGTGCAAGGCTATGAGTTGGACTTCAATGATCCTTGTGGTTCCCTTCCAACTCAGCATATTCTGTGATTCTGTGATAGGTATTATCGGGATAGTCTGGCAACAAATAGGTGGTGCATACAGGCATGTTTAGGTGCAGGTGATCAAGAAAAGAATTGGAGATGAAAGAAAGGCCATGCCATGCTGGTGGAAGAAAGTTAAAATCCTGTAGGCTCAGTGAAACTATTCCACAGCACACCAGCCAAGCATTGTCCGAGTTTGAACAGTGCCATTTCCATCGGGTTATTTTAATTCTCTACTGTGAAGAACTTCTTCTGATGTTTCTGTCCTCTTTGCAAAATATTTCCTCGGTGAATTTATTTTTGTACAAGTCCTTGAATTTTTTGTGAATTATTACATCACTGCTTAAAGCTTTGCTTGGCCTCAGTGGCAGTTTTGCAGTCAAGGAGAGCACTGTCAAGCGTTGTACAGCCTGTACATGCTGAACATGCATTGAATACTGTAACTCAACTGCCCCCTGCAGATTCAGCTTGCGATATTGTTTTTAGAAAATGGAGAAAAGTACCATAGATTCCTGTAACTGAAAAATGAGGTTCTTCCACTTATGCAATATCATGACCCACCCACTGAGGAAAATCATCGCTGTGTGTTACATATTTCATCCTCATCTGGTCTTTTTAATATACTTTTTCAATTTTCTATTTCAATTACCAGTGACTTTCTTGTTGCTAGCTGATATCTTTTTTTCAGAAAGGGCAGATTGTCATAAAATGTGGGCTTGTGTTGTGCCTTTGCAAATTGTGGGTTGATTGAAAAGATCAGATACTATCACTGTGTAGCTACTGTCAGTTTTACCAACTTGACCTTATCTCTCTGAATAGGATGGGCTTTGTTATTGCTGAGGAAAAATCTACATTTGATTTTGAATGGAAAGTATATACTGATTATTTCTTAAAATATATACTCTCTGGTATAATGATTGCAACTGGTCTGTACTTGTACTGTGGCTTCACCAAAGATACACTTTTTGACACTTTTAATTGACTGTTATTTACACAGCCAAAAATAGGTGTTTGACTGAAAGTACTTATGACAAAAATACCTCTGAATTAAAAATAAAACAAACAACAGAATTATGGAAATGTATGTATCAAGCCTGAATTTCAAAGGGTGCAAATATTGCAGCCATGTAACTTATTTTCTGCAATGTAATAAAACTATAATTAGTTACTCCATAATTGTCTGATCCCATCATCCATCTATACTGTCTATGCTATGAATGCTACTGGGTAAATGTAATTGAAATGTCAGACTTTATATGAATTTGTGATGTAATACCTAACAGAGCACGTTAAATGAACAATCAATACAATAAAAATAGTTAATCAGAAAGTAATCTGTATCAAACAAAAGGATAGATAAATCTCCTGTTGTTTGTGTGACTCCATGTAGCCAAAAAAAAGGAACCAAAAAAAAAAAAAAACATGAAAAGAAAGACTGAAGATATGTTTTAGAGGTAATTTTTTCACCTAGAGTGCCTTCCGGTCATGTTATTTTGTGATGTACATGCCTCAGAGACAAGCATTGTGGTAAATGTGATCGATGACTTTGACAAACAGATCTATGGTTAAAACCCACAGAAGCAACTCAAAGAATATTGCTCTTACATGTCACATCTCTGAAAGCATCAGTTAGGAATAACAATTTACATGGAAAGTTAATGTACTCTTCTATTTCAGAATTTCTGTGTAGATACCACGAAGAGATTATGCACAAGTCAAGCTGCTGATGTTTCGGAATTGCAAGTTAGTTGTCAAAATGATTTGGTGCATTGTGAGAATAAGGACAAGACTGGGAAAGCTCCACTAGTGGAAACTACTGTGATTAAAGGTCAGTTAAGCTTTATGGTTTGAGCTATTAATATAACAAAGCTTAACCCCAGCCCTGATGAAAGATTGACATACCGGAGTATCTTGTGTTATTTCACTTGGAATCTGTGGCTTAGTCAAAAGGGATGAAAAGTGAACATTTCTGTTCTTCCTTCCTAAATGCCGTAAGGCAAATTCATCCAAGCTCTCAACAGCAGCATGGTATTAAACTCTGTTTGACACTCCAGCATGAATATTCAGTGGGTTTGAGGAACATACGTTTGGAAAAGATGTGCTTTCCTTTAGCTTTAGGGTGATGCTTACACATAATCTGTTAAAAAGAATACCTATCCCAAAGGTTTTAAGATGAGCAGACATTTTGCATAAAGATATGAAGATGTCTTCAACTCACATTTTTGTATTTTAGAGAAAAAAATAATATTGAGCAAATTGCTTCACTGATAATTGTTTTTAAAGTCATCATTTGTTTGGATTTGCCATAATTTTCAATAGATACTTAGTTTTTCTACTTATCTTTCAAGTTTTTTCTTTTGCAGAAAGGAACCATACTGAAGTTGAGAAG